GTGCTGACGGGGTCCTGGCCATGAGACTGCTGGGCCTCGAGCCACCCCAAGATGGCGAGGGCTGGGGCCGGCCTGTGCACAGGTAGGTACAGGAAGGGTGACATCTTGCCTGGCCCTGAAAGGCACTAAGATGGTCATGTCACAGCAGCCAAGGCCTGCCCCGGAGAGAGCCCCCGAGGAGCCCAGTGCTCGCCTGATGCAGGACCTTGATGCCCAGATGCCTCGTGGAGCAAGTGAGCAGGGCAGGGCTGGCCTGGGACCTGGGGACAACCTTCCTCTGACTGCAGCTGCCTGGCAAGGCCCAGGGGAGGCTTTGGTCCTGACCCTGGGTAAAGGCCTGGCCAGCTGCCCGCGCCCACCCTGCCGACTGCACCCTGCCTCTTCTCTGAGCCAGGCTCACCCTCAGACCCCTTCCCGCCACGGTCTCTGCTCCGCCCCGGCCTCAACTCCTGCTCAGGGCAGCTTCCATGACAGACTTCTCCAGAATGCCTCTGAGCTCCTGTCCCCACCAGGTCCCTCCTGCCCTGACCCCAGGCAGGGGCAGCACTGCCATTCCTCCCTGCCGGGGGACCCCAGGCAAGCATGCACCACCACGCCCAGCTTCCAATAGCGTTGACTTAGGAAGTTTGTGTGGAACTCCACCGGCCCAAGAGGAAGCGGGGTCCTCCTGAGGCAGAAGAGCCAAGTGGACACTGGCCACTCTGGAAATCAGGGCGTCTCAGAGCTGGAACATCTCAGGGACCTAGACAGCTCAGGCAAAGCCCTTGCTAGCCTTCGGCCTCACTTGCACCTGAGGTAGGGGCCTCAGGTGCCTCTGCAGGGGTGGGGGTGGGGGGCTAAATTTACACTCAGGTGTTAGAGGCCAGAATGTTCCCTCACAAATTAGAGACCGAGTGAGAAGACTTAAGAGGTCCTCAGGCCTCTATCCTCACCCTCAGACCCCCTCCCGCCACGGTTTCAGGGTTGAGAATGATGGCCTGCTGGGGCAGTGTCACAGAGACGAGAGGGTCCTCTGTGGTGGGTCTTGGGCCTGTCTGCGAGGCCTGGGGTGACACGCACTGGGCTCATGGGTGACGCTGACTGGACCTGTGGGTGACAGGACACGGGGACACGGACTGGCTGTCATTGCTGCCAGCACTGTGAAGCTCTTTATCCTGCAGGCACTCTTTCTAGTACTTACTTTGGGCTTTTCATCATTTCATTTAAATCTGACAGAAGAAAATCAAATAAAATTTCAGACACAACTTGGTTGCATATTTATATAGGAGACATAAATATACCCTCAATCAAAGTTTATCCTTGAACTGCTTGTTTTAAATCCACACAAAAATACCAAGAGTCAGTTTGGTTTTTGGTTCTGGGGATTGAACCCGGAAGTGCTTAACCCCATGAGTGCTGAGCCACATCCCCAGACTTTTTTATTTTTTATTTTGGGACAGGGTCTCACTTAGGGCCTTGCTCAGTTGCTGAGGCTGGCCTTGAACTTGAGATCCTCCTGCTTCAGCCTCCTGAGCCACTGGGATTACTGGCATGCACCACCACGCCCAGCTTCCAATAGCGTTGACTTAGGAAGTTTGTATGGAAGTCCACTGGGCCAAGAGGAAGCGGGGTCCTCCTGAGGCAGAAGAGCCAAGTGGACACTGGCCACTCTGGAAATCAGGGCGTCTCAGAGCTGGAACAGGTGGGGTTGCAGAGGGCTGGCGGTGGACATCTGAAAGCCACCCGTGCAAGAGCACTAGCAGAGGACGTGGTGTGCTGTGGTGGGGCCTGTGTTAGGACCATCACGGTCCATATGAAGGACATAGGGGCCTCAGAGGACCAGGTAGGTGGGCAAAGACCTACTTAAACCCACTTAAACGGCACAGGTTTAAGGAGGCAGGACTCCACAACAAAAGCTTTTCTCAGCACACAGCAGGCACCAATCCTAAAGGAAAAGAGCACCAACTAGAGGACCTTAAATCTAAAACTTCACGTCCCAAATGTCATCCTTAAGGAGGTGAAGAGACAGCTCAGAGCTACGTGCATTCTGATGTGAATTTCGGGGTCCTGTCCAGGCCTGCTAGAAAGGCCTGGGGGCTTTGGTAAGCACCTCGGGAGCCGCCAGAGGAAGCCAGGGGGACCCCAGGCAAGCAGACAGTGACGGGAGCGGAAGGGGACTCCTTAAACGCCATAACCAGCCTCAGAAGTAGAAGGGAATGTGGCCCCAGTGGACCTCAGAGAGCAGACATTCCTGACAGTTAGATATAGGGGGGCGAAGACCACAGGAAGAACTAAACAGAGAAGTTAGAAGACAAACTCGAGGACATTTCCTAGAAAGCAGAACAAAAACCCAGGGTGGAGAGAAAAGCCAGAAAATGAGAGTTGGAAATCAAAGGCCCAGCTCCTGACCAGGGGCTCTGGGGGACTGTGCAGGGACCCACTCTGTGCTTTGAATGTAGCCCTTGCTGCTCTGCCACTGAGGTTCTGTTAAAACGAGCATGGTTCTTCTCCTCCTCCCAAATTACTAAGTGAATTTCCACCCGCCCTCTTCCAGGGCACGCCTCTACTGCAGCCTTTGAATCACCTGGTCCCCCTTCAGGGCAGATCACAGCCTCTGGGACTGCAGTCCCCTGTTTCTCCTTTGCTAGCAAAGGAAGAAGATGGTCTAGAAAATGACGCAGGTTTTTCCGGCTGGACACGGGCATCCACACACAGGAGGCTCCCGACTTCCCGGTGCCATGGGTGAGCACTGGTGCGGCCGCTCTGGCACATGGCCTGCTACAGGTGAGCATGCTCAGAAAGGAGGGAAACAGCTCTGCTCCGGGAGTCGGCACAGGGAGGGAACAGCTTCAAAGTCCTGAGGTGACATCCCCCTGTGATTCCAAATCCCGTTCAAACAGCGAGCCTTGGCTGTGTAGAGGGAGCTCACACCCAGGTCTCAGGAGACTGGCTCCCATCTCCACGTCCCAGGGAGCTAGAGAGAGTTCCACCAAAAGGAGAAGTGGACCCAGCAGGGGGAAGCCGTGGGGCTCCCGCTGGAGGGAGGAGGAGTGGGGCCTCAGGCAGGCCCGAAGGGTCAGGAAGGCAGCTGGCTGGTGGCCGGAGGGGAACAGCTGGTGGGACAGGAGACAGCCCACCAGGACGCCCCAGAGAGGCAAGCACAGGATTTCCCTGTGTTTCTACTGCACTGAGAGGAGCTCTACTCTGCCATCGGGAATTCTGGGGCGGATCAGTGACACAGGCACAGAGAAAACTAGGCAATCGAGAGAGAAAGTCAAGGGCAACAAGCAACATGCAGAGAGACAAGTGACCCCAACTGCGGGTGGCAGGGAGCCTGGGACCTCACACCCCCACAGGGGCTGCAGCCCAAGGGGGTGGGTCCAGTGCTGGGCGACGGGTTCCCTTTCACCCCGGGTCTACTCTCCACCCCTGCCAGGCTCTGTGCCGGGAAGGCTGGTGTGCACTGCAGGATGGCCCCTATGTCCCCCCCCAATGGCCACTGACTGGCTTTGGGATGGGAGGCAGGGAAACCAGAGTGGGGTGACCCTGGGGGCTCCTGGCTGGGCTGGTGAGGACCATTTCCTGCCACGACTGTCCTGTCCTGAGCCGCTCGCCCCATGGTCCTGTCCTACTGCCAGGCCTCTGTGGACTGTCCATTCCTAAGTTCCCCAGGATCTCTTAGGGTGCGCCATGAGTTCCTGTCCAGACATGGCCGTGTCACGTGGGGGCCGTGAAGAGCGCAGCACTGCGAGGGGCAGGAGGACCTCTGCAGGGGAGAAGACCCGCGGGGGGCCGCAGGGGAGAAGCGGAGCCGGCAGCCGTGAGTCTGGGGAAAGTGCAGGTGAATCGGCAGGAGGCGCGGCAAGCTGAGCGGGGACTGGGCCCACATCAGGGGCGAGGGGACCCAGGGACGGGCCTTGGTTAAGAACCAGCCTCCCCCAAGCCACCTCAGCAGATGGAAGGTCATGTGGGTCGGGCAGCCACCTCCTTCCTCCACTGGGCAGGCAAGCCACGGGGGTCACACAGCTCCTGCAGGTGGGGAGAGCTCTGGGGCTGCTGAGGGCTGCCGCCGGGAGCACCCGGGAAGGGGAGGCCTCCAGGCCAGGATCCCGTGGGGCCATGTGTTCACGGCGGTGAAGCCGTGTTTCCCTCCGACCCCCAGCCCTCTTTCTGCCCGTGTCCAGAGAACGACTTGAACCCTCCAGGGAGTTCCATATGGTGGTGTAGCCTCGAGGCCACCTCTGGAAACCAGGGGCCAGGGAAGGGGGTGGGTGGCCCTGGTGCCTTGTCAGGGAAGATCACGCATCCCTTCAAGGGCAGCTAGTGCCCAGGGCTCTGGGTCCTGGGAGGACTGGGAGGAGCTCCATCTCCCCCAGATGACCGAGCCGTTGCCAGGGAGGAGGGTCAGGCCCTCGGCCCCTGAACGTTCCTGTCAGCTTCTTTGCCCTGGGCCCTGAGCACACCCACTGGACCAGTGCCCGCCATGTGGACCCTGGCTCTAGAGCTACTGGGATGCACCAGGGGCTACCAGCACTTGCCACACTGAGCTGTGAAACTGGCCATACTGCCCCAGAGGTGCACACACCAGGGGAAGAGACAGGTGGCCCGGGACCTCCTGGTCTTTCCTCTCTGATCCTAAGAGTCCGGTGACTCTGACAGCCCTCCAGCTCAGGCGGGTGGGACTCCCGCCATCAACACGCTGAGCCCTGCTTGGCTTCAAGTCAACCTGGACACTGAGAAGGGGAACCTTGTGGGAGGGGAATGGGGAAGGTCAGCGTAGACTTCCTGCACCTGCCGGGTGGGGAACGGGAGGCGCCCCTGTCAGCGGACAGGCAGGTGGGAGGCTTTGCCTGTCCTGTCCTTAGGAGGCTCACATCTCTGCAGTCCTGAGGACCAAAAGAGAATGCCAAGTGGGTGTGCCGGGAAAACGGCCCAGAGTGTGAGCCCCCTGCCGGGGCCCAAGCCTGCTGGGGCCCTCGCCCGCCCACGGGGCCCTCGCCCGCCCGCGCCCGCCCGCGTACCAGCCTGCGGATCTCCCGCTCGCACTCCTTCTTGATGCGGCTGATCTCCTCCTGGTGCAGGTGGTACACGCTCCTGATCTCGGCGGCCTTGATCTTGTCTGCCTGCGTCACCAGCGTCAGCGCCTCCTCCACCTGCCTCTTGGCGCCCCTGAGCTCCGAGAGCTCCTGCTGCATCTTGGCCTTCTCCACCTCGAAGCCCTTCCTGGCCTCCTCCTTGGCCTCGCACAGCAGCACCGTCTTGGCCTTGTCGGGGGTGCCGTCGCGCAGGGCGTTGAGCAGCGCCTGCAGCCGCTGGTTCTCGCTGTCCTTGATCTTGACGACCCGCAGCAGCTCGGCCTGGTGCTGCCGCAGCAGCGCCTCGCGCAGCGCCTGCAGCTCCTGCGTCTTCTCCTCGTGCAGCTTGGCCCTCAGCTCCGTGAGCAGCACCGCGTGCCTGCGCTGCTCGCACTCGCGCACCTGCCGCAGCTCCTGGCTCTTCTCGCGCTCCACTCTGCCGACCTGCAGGACAAGAGCACCGTCTCACCCACCGCAACCGCGAGCTGCGTGGGAGGGGCTGCCTTCCATTCTGGGCTGCGCTTCACATGCTGATGAAGACCCCGAGTCGAGCCTGCTTGGTGGAGAGCGTGGCCATGCCCTGTGGCCCTGCGCACTCCTGCCTGTAGACCCTGACCAGCCTGCCTCCCACCCTCCTCCTTCCCCTTCCCAGCCCGGCCCACCTGCTCTGGTCTCCTCTGCTGATACAGTCCCACAGAGCATGGCCTGTGCCTCTGTGGGTCCCGGTGCACCCATTCCACCTCCTCTCTGGGTCCCACTTCAGGAGCTGCCACCTAACCCCTGGCACAGGACTGGGTTACTTTCCTCACAGAGCTGGTCATTCTGTTAGTCAGCTCTCCATTACTGTAACACATACCTCAGACAAATCAACTTATCAAGAGAAAAGGTTTGTTTGGCTCACAATTTCAGAAGTTCCAGTCCTTGATCAGTTGGCCCATTGCTTTGGGCCCATGATGACTCAGCATCACAGTAGGGGCACATGGCAGAGCAAAACCGCTCACCCTGTGGCCAGGAGATGAAGGAAGAAAGGGGCTAGGGTCTCAGGATCCCCTTTCCAGGACAGGATCCCCAGACCAAAGATCTCCCTTAGGCCCCACCTCTTAGAGGTTCCCCCAGCTCCTAATAACACCCCCCACCCCCGGGTGGGGACAGCCTTCAGCTCATGGGGCTGTGGGCTGCATCTAAAATCAAGCCATGGCACACACCCTGCAAGTCTGTTCATCTCTGTGACTGTCCTGTCTCCCTCCCACCACGGGCAGCCTCTGAGGGTCAGGACGGCAGGCCACCTGTCCTGTCTCCCTCTGAGGATGGCCTTAGGCCTGAGCCTAAGCAACTCATCTTAAAAACTCCATTTTATAACTCCAGTCTCCGCACCCTGATAAACTCAGTTAACTCTCTGGCTTGTAGTCTTTGCCCTCATCAAGAAAATCAGATGCTTTAACCCTAGGGTAAATGTGATGTCACCAAGAGACCCAGTGGCAGCTGATAGGGATTGAAAGTGTGGTCAAAAGCCCCCAAATTTAGTATAAATGAAGGAGCACATGAACAGACTTTCAGCCAGCCAATACTGATGCCCGCAAGCCGAGAGCCTGATGAGGACCTGGACTGACATCCCATCACTTGTCGTCTTGGCTGATCCTCTGTGTGGTCCTCACTGCTCTCAGACTCCACGCCACATCTTGACCCTGGTGGGAGCCGTGAGTTCTCCCTGAGACCCTCTCCTCAACCTGCCTGCCTTGGAGGAGGAGCCTGCCCTGGTTCCTGACCCGATGACCGCGGTCTGAGTGAGTGGGCATCTGTGGACTTAGAGCCCAAGGCTGGAGACTTCAGACTGGCACTAGAACTCAGCATGCCGAGGGAATGTCTAAGAGTGTTTACAGTGCTTAGAATTAATCTAGAATTGTCTGCCGTGAACTGATCATGTCTATTGCAGTGCCCAGCATTGAGGATTGTCGTTTTCTTGATTAAGAACCTGTAGAGTGAGATCGTAGTGAGTGATCTGAGTGAATAAAGCATTGAGGGGGGCAGAAGAGGTGGACATTCTTTAGTTCTCCCCCTCGCACCTTTAGCCCTCGTGACACTCCCCACCAGGATAGGCTGACAGGGCTCACTCAGTCCTGCAGTCCTGTGGGGTCCAACCCTGGGACTCCCTCTGGGTCCCCTACGGGTACTACAGTGCTGAAGGCTCCAACCACCAGGCTCTCCTGACCCTGCCAGGGGCCCGCCTGTCAGGACTCCGCCTGGCAAGCTGGCAGGTGCTGAAAGCCAGGGCACAGACGCTCGCCACCCTTCTATCTGTCCTGGACCCCCCTTCCAGCTGGGACCGAGTTTGGGGTGCCTGAGGGTGTTCCTGGGCACCTGGGGGTGTTGGCCCTGAGTCTTTGCCTCCCTTGGTGGGTCACTTCTGCAGGGTGGCAGACCATGCTCTGTGGGGGCTGGGGGTAGAGCGGGGGTGGCTCCCATCTAGGGTCGGGCACACAGCAGGTCCCCAGGCTGGACATGTGGGGCCAGAACAGAGCCCAGCTGCTAGTCCTCTCAGCAGACAAAACATCACCTTTGTGGAGACTCCCTGATGGGCACTCAGCAGAGGACAGAGTCATGAGTGGCATGTCACAGAGCAGATGTTTGTGGGATGGGAGAGAGTGCAGGAGAGAGCGGGCGGAACAGTCCAAGCTTAGGCGGGTGGAGACCTGCGTTGGGTCCTGTGGAGTGAAACTGGGGCCACGCTCGCCTCACGGCGGCCCTTCGCCCAGAGCCTGTGACTACACCATCCTCCCGGGTCTCGACCTGAGTCGACATCAGACATGGGGAAAGGCAAGGGGTGGTCTCCAACAGCCCACGCAGCAGGGCTCCCATCAGGCAGCTGCAGATACAGCGTCCAGGAGACGCTTCTGCTCCTGGAGAGCCTGGGAGGCTGGCCTCGCTGGCCCCTCTTCTCAGCAGGCAAGGGCAGCTCCGCCTTCCAGCCCCAGAGACTGAGGGACAAGGGCAGAGGACACGCGGCCCTAGGTGGCCCGGGGTGCGTGGGGAGCGTGAAGCAGCTTTCCGATGACTCCTAAAGGGAACTGTTCAGGAAGAAGCACTGCGGTCCTCCTGAGGCCCACCACTGGCTCTCACAGCAGCCTGCGGCCTGGGGGACCGAAGCCGGGGTGCTGGCCCTGGACACTGCCAGGCCTGGGGGTGCCCGGCTGCCCCTGGATTAGCAGTGAGGACTTCCCCTCCCCCGGGTGCCCTGTCCCTTCGGCAGGCTCCCAAGGCCACGGGCGGAGGTTTCTTCACTCAGGGGTGGAGCCTCGGCGTGCTATCCGGCTGCCGTGGAAAGGCAAGATGAACCTTTGACTCTTCCCCCAGCCCTCGGGTGCCGGGGGCATGAGTCGTTCCCTGCCGAGGAACTGGACGTCCTCGATGGGCTTCGTTCTTTGCACATCTCATCCTCGCCACAGCTGCGTGTCCCTCTGGCCAGCGGCCCTCTCCAGATGCCCCTCGAAGCCCCAGGTGGCCTCAGCAGTCTCCATGCTCTGACGGAGACCCTGCGGCTCCTCTTGCTCCTCTCCCACAGCAGCCCTGACTTCTCTTCATGGGAAATGGCACTTCAAGGTCACCACCGGGCCCTGGGCTGCTCACTGCTTCTGGGGAGGTCATTGTGGGAACTTTTCAGGAGACAGATGATATTTCACATTTGGTTTTATATAGACGTACACAAACCACATTACATGTAATAGTATAAGGTTATATGCCATATCTTATGCTAAACAAAACATATCACAAACATTTGTCACCCACATGTGTGTGCGTGCCTGAATGTGCCCACACCACACGCACACACGTGCACCTTGTGAATTCACACTGACATGTACGGCTTCCAATTCAAAGCCAGGGCTACAGAGCTCCTGTTGAACTTGTGGAGCACAGCGGTGTCTGTTCTCTCACACCAGAGCCTCGTTCTCAAGGAAACAGGCGAGGACGGACCCCCGACACTCACTTCATCCACGTTACCCTGCAGTGGTGTCCATGCTGATCCCAGCACCGCCGACTCGACTCCCCACAAGGGCTGGACCTCTCAGGTCTTGCACGCCCCCGAGGCCGCGTGGCCAGCTCCCACAGCTGTGTTGCCAGCTGCTCCCTCCCGCCCCTCTTGCTCAATTTTTCCCTGAGGAATTCCAAAGCATCCCTTTGTTTCCCACTGGCCTGTGCAGACAAAGCCTACCAGGCCACCCTGGTAGCAGCCAGCACTGAACTCACCACAGAAGCCTTGGAGAGAAACGCTGGCACCATCAGCCCAGCACCAGGTATTTGAGAGCACGGGTGTAGTGCCAGAGAGAGCCAGCGGCAGGTCCAAGTGACCCAAACCTGGGAGCCACGACTTTCAGTCTAGAAAACCCAACATGTCCACAGGGGGTGTCCACAGGGGGTGTCCACAGGGGGTGTCCACAGGGGATGGGGCAGGTTTGTGCCAACACCCAGGCTTCCAGGAGATACTGCCCCTGCAAGTGCTTCTGCTGGGTCTCCAGACGGGGGTGCACTGGGCGTAGCCCCAGAGTGGCCAGGGACAGCAGGCTGCTGGCCAGCACAAACCCCAGGACGGTGAGAGCTTTGTGCTCACCATGACTGAGAGAAAGAGAGAGATCTGCAGTACCCAGACTTGGGCACCTGGAGTGGTGCCTAGAAGCCTCCGGTCACTGCCCTACACAGCAGAGCCCCCAGGCCAGCACCCCACCTGGAGACAGCCCCTCGGCAGGAGTGACTTTCTGATGGGCACTGCCCCTTCCAGGATGACAGGTCTGAAGGAGGGACACCCCGAGCAGGTGGAGATGCTCTTGGTGACGGAGGTTTGTGTGAGCTGCCGTGCAGAACCTGAAGAGACCAGCAGCCGCTGTGGGACCCAGGCTGCCTGACCACGCAGGCCGCTGGCCCCTGCCCCAGTTCCTCCTCCCCTTAAGCTGGCGCTCCTGTGAGCAGCCCGAGGACAGGGCTGCGGGGCGGGGCTGCGCTCTGCCTTCCCATCTGGCCACAGTGACCAACGCTCCCTGCTTTCCAATCATTTTCTGTTTGGTTGTGAGGACAGCGGCTGGACCTGGTGTGTCAGAATCAGAGTTCTGGCCAAGGACTCCAGTGACATCTGTGTCATCAGCTTTTCACTGCTGTGAACAAAGGACCTGGGAGGATCAACTAAGGGGTAACGCTTATTGGGGCTCAGGGTTTCAGAGGCCTCAGCCTACAGATGGCCGCTCCATGCCTGGGGCTCAGCGTGGGGCAGGACGTCGAGGCAGGGTGTGGGGAGGAAAGCGGCCCAGAGAGCACTCCTCCAGCCGCACCCCACCTTCCCTCAGCTACGCCCAGTGCACCCCGTCTGGGGACGGAGGCCCTGACGGGGCTCAGGCTCCCGGGACCCTCCCCTCCCGCTGAGCCTCGAGCCCTGTCTGTCTCCATGTGAGCTGAAGCTG